AGGGCAAGCCACTCTCATACACTACAGTCTGCCCATGTTAATTTAATTCGTTCAAATGGTAGTGTATCTACCCTGTAGCAGAGGCTACAGGGAAGAAAATGCTGTCTGCAAACACAGAAGTGACAAAGCCAGGGAAAGGTAAGAGGTTTTTACTTTAGCTCACAAAATGCACAGAAGACCAAAAGGAGATAAACTGCCCATTAACAAACTTAGAAAATTATATTGGCTGGAAAAGAGAAAGGTTCGGGCCACTTCAGCACAAAAAATTCTAGAAGAGGGGGAGTAGGGTGAGCAGCTGAAATGCTTTTAGGATGGAGAATGAAAAGCTGCAGAAGGGGGCTGTGTATCATAAGAATGTCCCAACCTAGAGGAGTATCAGGCTCTCAAGGAACAAGGAGAGACAAGTACTTCTTCAAAACCTTGTCTCAGGCAACTTGGTACCATACAGCTTCAAGTCACCCGAGTTGCAAATGTATCTGGCAAGGGGATGGGGGCTTTGTACTGATGGCACTGAACTCCACACATTGTTCCCATGAAGGTTTCCTCTTTTCAAGCTGTTTATTTCAGCTGTCTGTAGTGTAAGCAAACTGCAACGCAGCAACACGTGATCAGAAAGTTACACATTTTCAATACAGAAGGGCTGCCTTATGTCCTGAGCAGTACTGCAACTCCTGACAAACATCTGATCAGGCTTCTGAGGGCAGAACAAAGAAGACCTAGCCTTCCCTAAGGAAAATCGCCAGTAATCTGGCTACAGATGAGGCTAAGCAGCGTTAAGCAATTCATCAATTAAAGCATATTTTCCAACACGACTGGCTTCCTTGGAGAAGTTAATCTCTGTATCTCTGCTTTGATATTATTTATTAGAAGTATTTAGGGTTAAAACCATCCCTGGGTATTATTGCCTTTCTTTTTTCCCCAACTACCTAGCATCATCCTATACTACTCATTCTCACCTAACTGCACTGGCATGCTGCCCCCGAGCTGTTCCAGTCTCTACAATCGTGCAAACGTGTTGGTGAATGGATCAGTGAATAAATCTTATTTAGAAAAATACACTTACTTTTCTTTCAAGTGGTTTCAGTTTCCCAATCCAGTCCACAGCTGACACAAGGGAATTTGTCATGTGCTGCAATATGGGGGCTGGAACAGTCACCTGGGATTGCAGTGTGGAGGAGGCAGCCAGTGAGCAATAATACACAGTGGCCTTACCAGTAATGCAGACCTCCTCTCTGTGTTCTGCTAGTGAGGTTTGCTGGAGGGGGTTCCAAGACAGCCAAAGGTAATGTAAGTACTAGAAGGTATGTTTCTGTACTCCCACTCCTCCCTGTGCACACATTCCTGTAGATGGGGCCTCTGCTGAGCCATTTCATTTTGCTACATCAGTTGACGTTTTCTCTCCGCTCAGCACTGTGAACCAGTTCAGTGCAGAGCTTACAATTGCCAGAGAAGTGCAAGAAGGTAGGCAGAAATGTGCATTTGAGGACAGGGTGGGGAGAGTGGGATCATGGCAGTGGTTAAATCACCTTTAGCACCTAAGTCTGAGCCCTTCCTTGAACAGAGGGCAATGTTCATCACACAGCCCCAGAAATTTCAGCCACATCTTGAAATAACTCAGTCTTAAATTTCTTCCTGGTTATGTATCTATCAGAGAAACAACAGGCTCTCTCCAAATTATTCTGAAATATCTGGGTCCAGACACAATCCTGGTGTATGTCTTAGTTTTCTCACAAATCTGGCCCTTTCTCTTTGCTTATCTATTTTCAGCCACTCGCCAGTTAGTACGCCAGGAACAGATGAGTCAAGACAACATGTTAACGCTTTGGAAAGATGTTGCACAAGCTCACTTTGTCACTGACAAAACACACGCCTAGGAACTCAGAGCCCACCTGTTCCACATTTGACACTATGTCTCAAATTTGTCACCACGTTTCTCATTTGTCATGGCTGTAGTTTTGGCAATGCCCATTGTGTAGCAAAGTGACCTCTCTGCTTTGAGACAGCAGTGGCTCCAAGCATGAAACATAAGCCCTGACGCATCCTAGTGGAGTCAAACTTGGTGCAACACAGTGGAGGGTGCTGGAATTGCAGCTCCAGGGCTCCCCATAGCTTTGACTCTCATCGGGCCTGCAGGCTTTTACACCTGCTGGGAGGGTGCGAGGTGCATAGGCAGAAAAGGACACTGTTCATCCAGCCTTATGTGCACACGTGGGGCTTAACTCTCTCTTTAGAGCAGCACTTTTGGGTTCCCCAGTACCTACCAAGTGTCCCAGTGACTGTGACTCCAGTGAAGCTCTCTTGATGTACACCTTCAGAGACTCCGGCCAACTATAACAGTGAACACATATACAAGGAAAACAGAGCATATTTCAGAGTCACTCCTGATAATTTTACTGCCCTCCTAGTGATCTTTTCAAAACACACTCCTAGACAACTTTCCTTAGGAAAAAGAGATATGTGCAATCACATTATATATGTCTCTGCCTAGGACTTTTATTATCCCATCACCAAACAACATTTCAACCGATTAATCTCAAACAAATCTCAAAACTACATCAAGCTTGCATCAAAACTGTAGAAGGTGTAAAGATACAGGTCTCCTTCTGCTGTCACTCTGCAAAGCAAGTTTCACTCTTCTCAGATAACATCAAACCCATAAGGACAGATGGGCATGGGTACATCTGCACCTTCCAAGGTACCATCCAACACAAACATGTCAGAAACAACACTTCACAGGATTAGTTTTTCAGGCTGAATGTCAGTGGTAAGTCTTTTTGATAAATCAGGGGTGGGTTTGACTCACAGTAGTCCTGCTCCACACAAAAAGAGTGAAGATTGACGGAAGGCTCCATAAACACTAGCTCTATTTATTCTGTTTGCATGTGATCAAGACTAAGTCTCTGTTCCAAACAGCTCTGTAATCAGGGCTACTGTGAACATGCAGTCAGTCCTCAGATACTGTGAAGTAGGTGAATCACAACAGCATCAAGCCTTTTAAAGCACTTTCCAAGCACTTCCTACTGCTGTCCAAGGTTAGGCAGAAATACAGATTTGTCGCTAGAAGTGGATGCTATATTCTCTGCCTATTTGTCAACAGCAGCATCTTAATGTCTTCTGCTAAGAACAACTCACAACTGCTTCACACTATTTCTTAGCTCCATATTCTGAACAGAAGCAGTAAGTCTACCCAGATGCAGCAAACAATTCCAGCACTCTTATGTACCCTTAATTAACAAGAAGCATTGGGCTTGAGTATGGGCACAATGGCACCCATACGACCTGTAAGATCAGTGCTGAAAACTTTCGTTTCCTTTCCCAAAAGGCCATTTGAATCTTCCCAAAGCTGAAGCCAGATAGTCAGCTTTTTTGTTGGTAGTAGGGACACTGGGGAATCTGGACCTCTAGATAAACTGAAGCCCTACACTAAAATAAGAGCAGACACAGCCATAATGTATGACAGGTATTCTCTCACAGCTTCTTGTTTAAAATAAGAATGTGTTTGTATTTATGTGGGTAAAAAAATAGCTCATCCATGTGTATTCTTCTTCTTCCCCATGAGATCAGGCAGTCCTAGGACATCAGGTTTATCACGGAGTAAAATGAAGGATCAGTTAAAGTAGCTTCTTGTTAAAATACCTGTAGCTGATGTCTGCCTGAGGGTAGAAGGTTTAAAATTAGGTATCAGATGGCTTATGATGAGTCACTGCAAGATCCAAAGCAGATCTGTTTGTTGGAGCATCAGGGCATTTAATGAAAAGCAGGACTTTTATATTAGTGGGTACCTACCTGTCTCTACAGACCTGAGCTGTACACACTACTTCTGAAACTCATCAGCTGCACAGAAAAGGAAAAACATGTGCACTAGCTCCACATGTCATGCAGGTCACAAAGGGTCAATTTTGCCTTTAAATTACTGTGTTCTGCTTACAAAACACCTGGTATGCAATCTGATTTCCACAGAACACACCATGAGGATTGCTGTAAGATGTCTCTTTATCTTAAAAAGGCCTCTATAGTAATTCCTATCCCTCACATTCATGCCTGGCATATGTTGTCAGGACTAGATG